CTTCAGGGAAAGGGCTTTGGGGCCCTTCAGGGAAAGGGCTTTGGGGCCAGCGAGCGTTTGGCCGTTTCTCCCTTTGCCTGCAGGCGATTTCCTGCCCGTTATGGGTGGCCAGGTTTGGCAGCTGCTGCCAGACCGCTGCTCCGTTCCCCGCTCCACCCGCACAGCCCCCGGGTTTCTCCCTGCCCCAGGTCGGTGTCACCGGGGCCTCCCAGCTCTGTCCCACCGCGGGGTCACAGCCGGGACGGGACGTGCTCTACCATCTGTGCACACCCACCCCGTGGCCCCTTCTTTTGCCTTTTGGCTCCCTGGGGTGGCAAACGGAGGCAGGAGGTGGATGAAGGCGAGGGCAGGCGGAGATTTCTCCCCTTGTAAGCGATTGTGAGGGGTGACAGGGTGGGACCGGAGCCCACAAGCTCCTGCGGTGCGGGGAAAGCCTCAGGGAAAGGGCTTCAAAATGCAACAAGTTTTTCAGATGAGCTGAGCCGAGGGGATCTCAGGATTCCCCAGGAACCAGGACAGAGTGGGGAACCAGCTCCCTGCTCGGTAGAACCAGCTCCAACAATCCAGGAAAATCATTTTGGCTCCCAGTGCTGCATCCCCACAGCGCACAGCCCAGCCCCAGGCTCTGCTCCCGCTCTCCTTTCCCAGCYGAGCCACCTCCACACTGGCATTTCAGGGGGAGGAAGTTCAAAGGGGAAAATGCAAAGGATCCTGCACCAGGCTGCATCCTTCCCGAAGCCTCCGAGCGTGCCTGGGATGGAAATAACTGTGYTTTCCACCTGGCAGCCGAGTCCACACGCAGCCAGGCTGGGGGAACACGACTCGCACCGAACTCTCACTCACAAACCCGGCAGAGCAGGCGGCGGCTGCCCCTGAGCATCCCCAAACACCCGGCAAAGGCTGGCGCTGGCCCCGGCACGGCTGGAGGCAGCCCCGCTCCTCGCTCCCCGCTCCTCGCTCCTCGTTCCTCACCCTGCCTCTCAGCCCCGCGCTGTGGAGAATGGCAAACGCACCCAGATCGAAATGCAACCCTTCAGCTCCCACCCCAGCACCGCAACTCGGCATTTTAAAATGCCACATTGCAAAAGGGAAGCGCCGCAGCCCCGCAGCCGGAGATGCTCAGCGCTCCGGCGCCTCATGAMTCACACACCAAACCCCCCGGGAGAGAAAAATTGCTTTAGGAAACTGTTACCTGGATGGWTTTCCCGAGCCCCTGCGCTGCTACCAGGGAAGGACCGGGGCTAGCAGAGCCCGAGATCTGTGCACAAGCCACACAAAGCCTCTCCGCATCCCTGGCCACMAAACCAGCTCAGGAAAAGAAGTTTCTGAGCACCGGTGAAAACACGAGGAGCCCGCGGCTCCCTCCCTCTGGCAAACCAACCGCAATAACTTCGCCTCAGCCACGGGGCTATTCGGAAATCGTTTGCAAAAAGCTTTATAGAAAATAGACGATGGAGTGGGTGCAGCTTTCAATATATTTGCTCTAGGATAYTGTAACAGGCACCAAAGCGAACGCGGGCAGGCGAATTAGGGCGGGAGCTTCTGCTTCGCTCGTTTTAAATTACAAAGCGCCGAGACAGCCAGGTCTACGCTACATTCTAGAGTCAAAGGGCTGCCCCCGCTGCCCCGGGGAACATGCACGCAGCCGGCAGAGGCGTTTCCTACAGCTGCATCGCCTTGTGCCTGCAACGAGCTGGAAATGTCATCGAACGAAACTAAATGGATAAACGGGCTCAGAAAAGCACGTCGCTTCTCGGGGGGGAGCAGCCGGATGGTGTGCTTTCCTCTTTGCAGCCAAAGGAAAAGGGGAAAAAAAGAAATCAAGTTAAACTTTGCACCTGTCAAATAGAAATCTAATAGGAAAGAGAGCTGTACACGATCAAAGTCAAGTCCAGGCTCCAGGAAGGTCCAGGAGGACAGTTTCAGGTATTGCCCGCGGCTTCCCGGGATGCGCCAAGCGAATGCCGAGGTGAGAGTGCCGCGACAGCCGCGCATCCCGCATGAGGACGGACCC